TGATACCATCATATTTGTGTTGATATCCATTGAAGAGATGCATATAGATGATCTCTGAGACAACATCAAAGGCTAGGAGCGGAGAAAGTTCACAAACGTAACTTTTTTTAAGAATATGCGCTAGTCTACTTCATCATGTCGGCATTTAACCCATTGAGCTGCCAAAGAGCCGCATTAGAAGTAATTATGGTGTGCCTCTACGCTGCTTAACATATTTTAGAGGATATCGCAAATGTTTTTGCACAACGCTTATTTACGTTCAGTGATTAGAACTATTTTTTGCTATTTCTGCTTACTTAAGTAAACCCAAATTACTTTTAGCAAGTATACAAGCATGTGAGTGTGAAACAAAAAATATTTATCGAATTTTCAGGTTCCTTCATTACATGTAGAGTGTAGGTATCAGCTAATCAAATGACTTACGTTCATCTACAGGCCACAGAACTAAATCCTACTTATGATTTGTATAGCTGTCTTCATCTATTGGACGACATTTGTGATGAACAACTTTGTGTGCATTTGACTAGTTTACCCACATCCTACCGCCGTGCTTTCGGAAATAAGTATTCATACTTTAAAATTCTTTTCGGTCAATAATATAGGCAATTATTTTGATAGAAGTTTCTGGCTTCACTTGTATAAGCTAGCATACGTGAAAAATCATTGTCACTAGCACCCACGAAATCAATGGACTTCCCAGAACCTATGCGCACTAGGTGGGGTGAGGTACAAAAAGTAACACGTGGAACGTCTGTTGATAAACAGATTTAAATAAATTCAATGTTTTGCATGGTTATAATTAGTTTTTCAGGAACTAAAATCTTGAATATCTGTTGATGCTTTCGAAAATATGTACAACACTTCTGCCGCGGGTTTTTCAACGTTCTGCGAATCTGTGTTCTTGGTGAATGTTACAAGTAGTCATATTTTTGTAGTACACCGACCTTTTTAAATACTGACGGTTCACTCAAGGGTGAATTTTCGGAATAGGAGCATTTCAGAGCCTTCAGAATGATGTTGTGTGAATATTCTCGTAATCAAACATCGACTTTGTGTAACTGGCTTTCTCAGTCTTCACTAATTTTCGTTGCTTAATCTATACTCAACCTCTAACCTACGAAAACTGGTAAACCATGACAGTAGCAAACTTTGGAAGCTAAAGGTGTTAAACATCGGTAGCTATAACCGAATAAAAAAAAATAAATCTGAAATCTATTCTGAAGTGTCATAGTGGCTCATATCCGGTAACTTCATCCACTTGGTTCCTATTATTCCTACTGGCTCTTTTTTAGCGGTATATGTGCGAGTGCATTGAGGTTGACGTAATTTTGTATTTAATGCAGTGTTTTTACCTGTAACATTTGACAGCTATCACATCAACCACTTTTTGAACTTCAAGATGTATCATGCTGCGTTAAGCACTGTTAAATCCGTCGAATCGTAGACATGCATTGTGGCGCTAAGGTCACAGTTTACTGGCTTGTGAACAGGTTCCAACATAGAACTTCTCACAGAAGTGCAGTAGTTCGTCTTGCCACACTCTGTGAAGTAAATAAAAGAAGACAAAGTGGAAAGCAGAGGTTTAAAGAAACGATAATAAGCATAAGGGTGAAGCGAAGAGAATAATAACATGGGGAAACCGTAGGGTGGAATGGGTGTAGGAGGACATAAAACTAATGCATCTGCTCCACTGGGAACAAATTTGAGCCGTGTTACCAGTTTTCTCTTTAGCCACTGGTCTCTAAAATCCCAAAGATTCCAACCAAGCAACCTACAGCTCTGTATGTAGCTCCAAGTGACTGTCAAATATTTCATGGGCCGATGCCATGTTTTGGTTCGACCACCACTAGCTCTTTACCAACGTAATCCTATTTTACCTAACACTTCCTGTCGAGGAAGGCCAGAGCTAGGCATGCGCAACACATGTCTCAATCTACATAGCTTTACAACTACGTTAATGTAAGCCTCATAGTAACATGTTTTCTATTGGTTGTTTGGTGTATTTTTGACATTACATTACTTCCTCCACAGGGTCGCATAACTTTTACGAAGTATCTCTAATGTGAATAAATTTATGTCTAAAGCAAAATAATATATCACATCAGTAGGCTAATTGTATAGTTTGTAAGTAGAAATAAAGACTTATTATTCTGCTGAGTTAGCTGAGGTTTTCGTATTTTTCTTCTTGCGATTCAGCATTCAATTACAAGTAGATTCACTGCCTACTACCAACTCATTTCAAAAGTCTTTACCTCCTTCCGTTACATCCGATTATTGAAATCGTTGGATAAGACTTTAATTAGCGGACGGTTCAGTATTATTCTTGGTGCCGCGTTTCTTATAAAGATATGATTTGTAGTTCAGGTGAATGATACTGGTGTAGTTGTGTTCTCTGAGCTGGGATGGCTTAGTTGCTAAGCTTTCGTCGTTTTTCTAGACATCTTCAGAGCATAATTCAAAATGGAATTATTCTCATTTAAATCAACATTGTATCTGTGAAAATTAAATCCTCAAGTTAGAGTGCACGTCTATATTTTTTTTTGGCTTCCATCGTTATCAGTGCACACAGAGTGAAGGGGAAGAGAAGAGCCACCAAGTAGAGGAGTTGCATTGGTAGAAGGAAGGCAAGATAATAGAGATGAAGATGAAGACAAAGATGAGCGAGGATTAGAGGGGTTTCGCGTGCACTTCGGATTGTGAGGGCGATTGTTACTTCCCGGCTGCCCACACCGTGGAAGTTGGTTGCGTGACCGCAGAGCCCAGGTGACAACTGCTTGAGGCCGGTCACACACGGCCTGTTTTTGTTTGTTCTTTTTTATTTGGTGTGTCTCAGTAGCGTATTTATCACTTCTGCCCTGTGACACGGCAGCAGAAAGCGCGGTCGTTGTTAATCCGGGCCCCGACCGATCCGGCATGATATTTTGTGATTTATTTGAGATCATAGGATTGGATTGGGTAACTGCTTTTAGTCTAACTGCTATCCAAACAACCTTTCTGGCATGGTAGGACCTGCAGGAACATAAGTTCCAGCCAGTATAGCTTGTTGGGTCATTGCAGTGTTCAAGGGCCAGGCTGGAAAAGAGCTAGCGGCGGTCAAACGAAAACATGGCACCAATCAATGAAATCCACAACAGTCAATCTAAGCCACGTAGGAAGATGCAGACTTCCTGGTTGGGGCCCTCGGGATGGTAAAAACCAATGGTTGGAAACAATTGGTGACATGGCTCAAAATCGTTCTCAGTGGCGCAGATGCATCCACTCCTTGTGACTTATGATTTCCAATTAAACTTTTGTTCTCCGTTATTACTATTCCTTTGTCTCACACCTCTGTTTACTGTCTATATTATGCATTTCTTCTACTTCCTTCTCTTGCTTTGCGTGCTACATAGATTGTGGCGACTTGAACTGCCGCACATATGTGCAAAGTTCTATGTCGAAAACCGACCGACCGACCGACCGCACGTCTATATCCATTTACTTTAATCTAATCAACTCCATGTCAGTAATCTACATTCACTAAATTTTCACTTCACAAGTATACAAACCCCGAGAAAGCAAACCTAAAAGACTGACTGATATTATTCAATAAATTTATGCCTATATGTATCTCATAACTTTTTAGTTTTGAGTAATCGACTTGGGGCTTGGTAAGAACTCACCCGAAATACATTTTTCACATTATTATTATTGTTCCTTTGGGTTCCTAGTGGAACATAGGGCTTCAACTGCACGCCTCCACTTGTTTATGTCTTCTCTTGTACTTTTCACCTGCATCCATGTTAGTCCTTACTGTTTCAACTCTTCTTCACACGATCTCCTCCATGTCACCCTTGGACGTCCCATTCGCCGCTTCCCTTTCGGGTTCCACTCGAGGGCCTGACGCGCGATATCAGCCAGCGGCCTCCTCAGCGAGTGCCCAATCCATCTCCACTTTCTCCTGCATATTTGTTGAGTGATTGGTTCTTGTTTTGTTTGTTCCTTAGTTTCTTGTTGGTGATTCTTTTCAGCCATCTGATCTTCAGTATAGAGCGAAGACAGTTGCTGATAAAGGTCTGCAATCTGTTGGAAGTATTCTTTGTGATCCGCCAAGTTTCTGATCCGTATAGAAGAACTGACTTGACGTTTGTATTGAAAATCCGAATTTTGTTGTTGATGCTGAGTGACGAAGATTTCCAGATTGGTTTGAGGTTGATGAATGTGTTTCTCGCCTTTCCGATTCTTGATTTGACATCTTCGCCCATTCCTCGTGTAGTTGAGACAATGCTCCCTAGATAAGTGAATGAAGTAACCTCTTTCAAATCCCCCTCGTTGATGGTGATTGGCGCTGGATGTTGCTGTTGTTGTTGTTGGTTGGTTATTCTCATAATCTCCGTCTTGTCTATGTTCACCTGGAGTCCTGTCTTTGCTGCTTCTTCGACCAGTTTGTCGGTTTTCGGTTGTAAGTCTTTGATTTTGTGTGATATCAAACATAAGTCATCCACGAAATCCAGGTCTCCTAGGTTCTTCACGTCGGTGGTCCAGGATATCCCTGTCTTCTCGTATCCCACTGTTTTCCGTTGTGGATCACTTGACATGTACCGTTGTCGTACAGCTGTTGAATAAGGTTGATGAATATTTGGGGTTCGCCGTAGTACTTGGGTAGTTTCCAAATTACTTCGCGGTCAACGCTGTCGAAGGCCTTCTCAAAGTCTATAAAGTTGAGGTAGAGGTTTGATGATATTATCCGGTTATCTAGGTTGAACACAGAGGGATTCGGACCTGCGACTCATCGGCTAAGAGCTGAGTACTTAAGCCACTGATCTACAGCTCCATATATTTGCATGTTTTCAATTAATTATTCGTTTTGAACTCGACATAAATTGTGACCACATGCTTTCTTTAGTTGGCGCTCAGTCAAATGATTAAAAATTTTCCATTTCGGTTTCTAGTGATATGTCAACATTACCTTTCCCGATTCAATAAATTTTCGTGGTGATATACTGGCAACTACCATTAAAAAGATGGATACTTTCAATGAAAACATAAAGGTTATCAGCGATCTTGTAAAGAAATATAAAAATGACTCATCTTTGTATTCGCACTCCGCCAGTCAGCTGAATGAAATTCTAAAGTCAGGTGAGCGTTCTTATTATAATAACATTCTTAAAGTGCAAATAAATCCGCTTGTTTGCATTCAAACTGACCACAATATTCAGATTGATCTATGCCATTTATAAGTTACATGGCTTATAATTCTAATCTCCGAATTGTGGTGATCGGTCAGGTAGCTCTGAACCCAGCTTTTGTGATTTTTGGCACTCTTGGGCAAGCTGCATTTGCCAATTCGATGACCCTCATGGGGTTAGAATTCTCTATACCCTACCGCTGCATTTGGGGACTGTACCACCGAACTATTCTGCGTAAGTGACCTCTTGTAGGACTGCAGTGGACACAAACTGATTGGTTATTGTTGAGTAACTACTGCAGTTTTTGTGTCGTCTTAAGTACTATTAGCATCCTTAGAGTTTTTGTTCCTATGAAGTACCCTGACTTCACATGTTTATCTCGATAATGCAGTTGGAGTACATTCACATACACTCAATCGGTACTGTTGTACAATTTCAAGAATATCAATGAAAAAGCATGTATTTACAGAATATCATTTGTACTTCTGATTATTGTGAGTTCTAACAAAAATTTGATGTTTCTCAAAGTAAGGGAACATTTTCAAGAATGTGTCACCACTTTTTGAAAGACCTTATGACGCTTGCACGACCCTTGGGATAATATTTCTTAATGCGGTACTATTAAAAGTTGCAGCAATCATACAGGTGGTGATACATTTATAGTTACATAAGAAGTTTAAGACTCACTATTCATACTCACTTCTCTGATACTGATTGCATTAGTTATTGATAATGTTAACCGTTCTAAGTACTTCTATTTTCTTCGTATATGAATCACAGTCTAGATGCATACTACGAAACATGCTTTAAGGTTGCGGGTTTTCAACGGCTTATTATTCTTTTTTATTTATCTATTCAATTTAATGAGTAATTGCTGTAATAAAATCCCTTTCCAACCCGTTTTGTATTTTCTAGACTATATATCTATTGAAGGAACATTAGCGCATCTTCGGATGGTTGTTAGCTCTCTTGAAGCCAAATTAGATAATCTTCTTTTTGTGAATGATGAATTAAAACGCGAATGTGAAAAATTGTCAAAAGATATTAAACTACGTGCTGAACAACGTAAAGCAGACTTAGTGAAGAGAGAAGCTACCTTAAGGGAACACAATTCTAGGATAAAATTTGCAAAGTAATTGTTTTTGAATTGTATTTGATTGATTGCTTTCATAGGCATTATTGTCTACTCCCTGTGATATGGCCCAGTGTAGATATTGTTGGAATGTTGAAGCCTTCTACATAGAAACACGACAATTTGAGCTCTCTCTCTCTCTCTCTCTCTATATATATATATATATATATATATATATATATATATATATATCCTTCTACTCACTTGTATTGGTATTGCTATTTTTGTGTGACTTCAAGGCTCTAAAATTTCTCTGTCAGTTTTAGCGTTTCCTCTGTTAAAATTTCCACATTTTCTAGTCAAACTGGTATCTACAGTTGTCCACATACACTCCGAAAAGAAATATATGACGTGCGTTTTTACAGTTAGTTTATATTTTTCGAAGTGAAGGCCTATATTGTGTATATGAAGTACTGTGTTATTTTAATTACAATGACAACAGTGGGTAACTAGTCCTGTTATCTTATGCCTATACAAGCAATATGATTGATAGGAATAAATCCAATATATCCGTCATTATACAATGTACGGTTTTTAGAATCTTATCTAATCTCTTCAACTGACTGAAAGTAGATTGCTATAGTGACTAATTCGCTTTCGAATAATATGTTGTTAATACACACACATACACAAAGAAAGCTAATCAATAAATATTATGTTAGGCTAAAATACATTTTTAATAACGGCCTATTTATTTTATAGGAAATACGATTTGATTTATCTTTTTGTCACTGTTCACCTGATATATATTTTTCTTATAAAAATAAGTACTGTTCAAATACTCGAATAGTTATCGCGCACTCCGTTTTGAGTTTCAGTCCCAACGAGAAAAGCAAACAAGATTGAAAGTGGACGAATTTCAAGTATTGATAAATTATCAAATTAGTTTATATTCACCCACAACAATATTCGATATCGAAACTAATTGCTTTCAATCGGTCTACATACAATTCAGAATATCCCATATAGTTTGATTGTCATCTAACATTGATAAAAGATATGAGGTGACAAAAATAAATGTTACTGTTTGTTCAGAGATCAACTCAAATTATCTAAGTCTAAATAAATCGCTTTAAGAAAGAACTGTTTTCGTAAGTTTGTTACATAAAAATCAGCTGGACTAGTGTGCCTTTTTAAATTCTAGTACAAGTTCTAAAGAACTATGAGGCTCCAACATTCGGTACCATATACGTAGTGTTTTATCTGTGTATTCCCCAAAATGAAAATATCAGCTAAATGATAGCGAAATAATTCCACTTTTCTGTACTTGGATCAAGTTATCAACATTTTTTTATATATATTCTGGAAAATGTCTTATTATGGTCTCCCTCCCTGGGCTGGCATAACATGTTAATACTTACTCTGTTTTATTCACTTTTCACGGAGTAAAAGTCCTGTTCAACATGTGAGCAATACCAAATGTAACAAGAGGTTGACCTCATTATTTTGTAAAACAGGGGAGAAAATCGGAATTATAAACTCTTAAAAAATAGATAATCAATAATCTGCCTGATTATCTCCCATCAAATAATTTTAAAATTAACTCAGTCCCGGTAAAAACAATTTATCTAATTAACCTTGTTGTCCTAGAAAAATTTGTAACTTTGTCTGTTTATATGTGAAGTATCGAACAAGTACATCAATGTTCAAACTATACACAATTCATACGTCAAAATTGTACACAAAACTGTCATTTTATCACAATGTATGAATCAGAATTCAACAGAAATTTTTTTCCCCATCCTTTTCATAAAGCTTTGTCACAGATGTACTTTTGACAACTGTTTCGTTTTCGAATTATCTAGAATGAATATTTTACTAGTAGCTACTGATTATATAATATATTTAAAATCAGTGTCTAGGTATTTTGTGCTTTGCCAGCGGATTCACTTTTAGGATTTGGGTTTGTGATGATTTGATTATCCTGATTGTAGACTTCATTCCTACCAACTAACACAGGAATTAATACACTCCTCATCAGTGATTGACTTTCCTATGAACTTCCTCGAGTTTTACAGAGAAGTTATGAGAGCAGATACTCGCTGATAACATTGGTTGACAGTGATGCTGTGAAAGGTTAACAAGAGTTTAAAAATTCATACACCGGTGAATTTCTACCCTGTAGCTAAATGGTTAAATAATTCCCTCATAAACTGAAGATCGTGGATACAAAGCGTGGGAGTTCATGGGTGTGTAATGTTGGTACATCTCAAACTTGGACGACAAAACCTTTCAGTGTTTCATGGTTTTCAGTTGCATTCTAATTAATTCTTAATCTGTGTAGACGAAAGTATATCTTAGCATCAGTTGCAATGTCATGCATTTTTTTTAACCTCAAGATCTTGGAGATTTCACTTTGAATCTGGAAGTGCTGTAGAATTTGGGGACCGAATTCATTCTATTGAAGAGCTGCTTATCCACCAACAATAAATTGTTAAGTGATGTTCTGTTCTTATAAAAAATGCATTGTAGCTTATGTTATGCAATACGAAAGTTTACCAATGTTCACTAAAATTTTGTTTGGTTTTTTTTAGAGGGAAACTATCCATCTACGAAAAATTCGTGAAGGCAAAATTTATCAATAATGAAAATTCACTTACTGCCTGTATCCTTTTATTCATTGCTATCACTTTACTTTCTTATGGGAACGTCATTAGGAAATTTTCTACTGTTTTAATTGGGTCTATTGTAGATATTATTCACTGCAGTATCTTATGACCAATCAAACAAATAATCTCAAACCATTTAAGGAAAGCCAAGGGCCTACTGAGCTCTCTCTTGATGACTCTGACCTTGTCAAAATCTGACGTCTCAAATATTATCTGCTACAATTCTACACTAGGCGAGAATGAATGGTTGTCTAAACTGCATAGAACCGTTAAGTTCATCGCTGAAATGCAACTTGTTTATTTGTTTGGTATAGAATGTGTTAGACTCTGAGCCAAACCTAATGGGCAGGAGAGCTAGATATTATATAATTCTTTAAGTTGACGTAAAACATGGTGCGTCTAGGACTTGCGAGTTGAAAGTCTGGTGTTTGACTCAATAAAAAGTACCTCTAAAGTAGTAGACAAATAGTAATTATCAACACGAGGCTTAACACTACCACGCAGTTATCCAAGTTTTGACACTGAGTGAAAGTAGTAAAGACAGTGAGAGTCATAAAATGAAATAAATAAATGCAATATTACTGATAGGCTGAAAATGAGATTGCATCCGAGTCTTTATGATCGATGCAGAGAAATACCACCTAGGGTATTGAACAAGTGAGGTGTGACTTTTTATTTCGCCACTTTTCAGATTCTTCTAACGTAGTTTACCCACCACTAAAATAATACGTCGAGACAGTATGTCCAAGATAACTTAAAGACCTCAGGTAATTCGGGGTTTATAATGTATTCACGATTTTTGCAGAAAAGTTATGGCGCTTCCCTTTGAATGAGTCCAGTAGTTCGTGAATTAAATTGCAGTGAGTTCACCCAAACCATGCATCATGGACCCTGTAAATACTAAATTCATCGTCTAGTATCTGCGCATAGCAACCTTCAGACTTTCTTTACCTGTTTTTATCGTGTTACCTTAAACACAACAATATAGAAGCACACCGATTACATAAAACGGACGTGTAATTGAATAAAATTCCTTAGTTTTTGTCACTAGTGAAGCTTATTTCTTGACAGTATACTTTAATATAGTTATCTTCAATCCAGATCGCGTTGTGCAAATTAACCTCCCGATTACATTACTAGAAAATAAAACATCAATTAGTGATGACCTTTGTCAGCCGGTTGATGAAGGAAATCTTCTGAACGGTGGAGCTACAGATTTCAAATTAACTGGTGATGTGATTGCAGAAATGAACAAGCTGTGGCAACAAATGGAAGTTTCTGAGAAGTGGAAATCCTTCATTATGCCTATTGCAGAATCCACAACATCTGAATCATCAAATGACATAACGGTACATGATAGGAAAATCTTAAGTGCTAGAGAAAATTTGGAAAAATAATACAAAGTACATTTGCTGTATGATCTCTTTTAACTTCTGATTTATCACAATAATTCAGAATTATTTTACTATCATTATATGTTTTTTTTTTGTAAAATAATACCTTCCAAAGCAGCGTGTGATTTTTGCAATATGATGTCCGTATGGTTGCAGAAATTTTCGTAGTAGTTACTCACAGACTAACCTACAATATTTTCATTCAATGAATGCTAACAACAGTTACCAGCTTAAAGTTAACAGTCTTTAAAAAAAACTGATACGTTATTGATAAATCCACCTACAGATGACCGGAAATACTAAGTATAATAAGATATTATTGAAGCCCATTCTATAGTTGCTTAATCGACCAATATGTTGGAGGGAAATTTAGTATGGAGTGGCTAAATGAATACGCAAAGTTAGAGTTATTGCAACTAGCGGGTTCAATGTTACACTTACAGTCAGGTGTCTCATGACCCGACATATAATATTGGTTTGCCAATTCGAGGCATTCTCAAATACTTTTACCGATAGTTAAATGCACAAACTATTTATTTCTCAAATAAAGTATAATTATGTTTCAACGGTTTACATACTATGATAAGTTTTGTTATTAATAATATTTCGAGCGAAATTACTGCTCATGTTCACACCATTGTTGGAATTGTTTTGTTTTTATGATTTGTACTCACATATGTAGTTCTTTTTTGTTGTTCATTCATTTATATTTGATTTAACACAGTGACACAGTACTGATAGCTGGATGATCTTTCGATCACAGTTTATGGCTCATAATCATATCAATATGTTCACCCCCCATTATTTGTTGCAGTCTTCCATATATCCGGCATAGGTGTTGCGTCATTTCCATTACACGTGTTCGTCATTGATTCGATGAATGAAGATTCTCTGTCTACCTAACTATATTACTTTTTAATACTTTTACATTATCCGACCCTTATTGTGTGATCATATCCAGGCGAACGCATTACAATGGCCGAGCTATTTTTTCTAGATTACTTAAATTGGCAAGGTCAGTCATTGTAGCTTCGGCTAAATTTCTGCGTTCCGACAATCTAACTAACCCCTATTTAATAGTTTAACCTATGCAATTGATCTCAGAATCATCACATGGTGTTTAGTAAATGATGTTATTTTTTCCAATAGGATCTATCGGGCCAATAAAGCGGACAAAGTTTGTCTATAAATGAGTTAGTTGGTTTAAGGTGCCACCCTAATTCCGGCCTCTCTGACGTTCCTCTTTTATGCAGCAGTACTATAGGTGCTTCGACTTCCTTATTATTTATATTCATTATATACATCACTACTCTCAGATCTCCTATGGGCCCTTGTAAACTTTTGAATAAATTCTGGTGGGTAATGATTCATTAGTATTTTCCTTATTTATTTAAATCTTCTGACTCATTAGTTAAGCTCCTGGCTTGATTTCATAAAGATAGAAATAAACAGCAGGAGGGGGGAGTTAGGGAAAATATATAAAACAAATTATAAATTCGTGCGAGTACATTGATGCGAGCAATAAATTATGCTCGGAACGTCGTTTGGTCAATAGCAGTGTAATGTGGAATTCTGTCCTACCACAGTGCCCTGATTCCACTCTTATATTATATGCATAAATATATATACTTCTGGTATTATAGCTTTTCGCACACATACCTCTTTAACATAAACCTCACGCATCACTGAATACTATTTTTCATTGTAAATCATAAGCATAATATCACAACTTATATGATTAATATGAGATAGAATGGAGGTCTAAATTATCAAGTTATATTCTCAAAATCTTACACTAATTCATATATAAGCATCCTAGGAATTGAATACAACCTCCACTTGTGACAGAAAAGAAAACAAACATATAGAATTTAAGTAGAATCTTTTGTAAACGAAGATAACTTATTGTAAAATAAATAAGGATCATACTACTTCAGTGATAAACATACATACATCTACAAGCAAAATAAGTACAATGCTGATTCTAATCTTTTTGCAATATATATATGAAGGAAAGAATAAGACAGTTATATGTAATATATTTATATCTACATAACGGACTTACATTAGGGCGCTTAATTAATTTAATTCACAGCCAAGAGAACACCTTAGTAACAAGAAAGAGAGAGAGAATCAAAAGACAAGAACCAGTCTGTTAGGCACAGAAGAAAAAGAAAGAAACACACACATCAAACAATCTACACAATAAGAATTGCCTGAGCAACAAGACGGTGTAAAGCAGTGTAGAATGAAGAACAACAACAAACAATAGTAATAAAAAGAGCAACATTTACAGTTGACACTTGTTTAGTCTAACCACCTTTTTAAGCTGTGTGTAAATAAAGAGTTGTAAGTTGAACTTACTCATCATTAGTAAAAGAAAATTTCCAAGAGTAAAACTTGTAGACAGAAGTGAATTTCACACAATTTTCTTGATGTATACGTATGTATATATATTTGGATGAAAGCCTATGAAGAAACAGGAGATGGATTGTCTCTGAATGGGTATACAAGTAACTTATTATCTCTCTTATCATTAATAACGTGAATTTCAGCTGTTCATCATAACCAATAACAACAACGAAACGATAAATGGGAAGATTAACAAAAGAATAAGACAACCATAAAGAAAGAGACAAAAAAATAGTAATAACAACTGCTGCAGTGATTTCAGTGACAATAGTAAATAATATAATAGTTAATAAATCTGTATATAGGTTATTAATTCAACTGTACTTTCTTTTACCAAATTCTTTTAAATTCAGAATCTGAAGAGCGAGGTGAGATAATAACTGATGTTAATAATAGTAATAATAATAGAGCATCTATTCTTTCAGATAATAGTAGTGACTACACATATGTATTACTTATAGTGTTTGAAAGGAAGTAATAAACGAGTAAAAAGAAAAATAATAATAAATGAATATTTCTTATCTTCTCTAGTTTAAATCACAAATTACTAAGAAACAGATTCAAATAAAAGGTTTATCACCGCGATGATAATAAACAATGTGTAATATTGTGTATGTACCATTGGAGCAAAAAACGAACAGGAAGAAGTTAAAAACATAAAACAAACAAGTTCAAAAGGTAGAATTATTATCATCATTACTACACTGATTAAAAATATTTAGAAAAATGCAACTACAATAAATCTGTTTTGTTGTATATTGGGAAAAGTTGGAGGGAGTGGGGGTGGGGAGCGGAGGTTGCGATTGGTGAATAGGAAGGAGTAAACTTGAAAGATTATTTTTAATGGACTAGCAAAGCGAGTGTACTAAGATGTGATAATACGGATTCTTTCTTTGAAAGCAAAGAGGGAGAAAAGAATAGGGATATAATTGTGAATACAATCTCATCATTACAAGAGTGACAGTCGAATACATAAACACAAGTTTACTACATGATAGCTAGTTGAAAAGCACCAAAATAATCTAAATAACCACTATACCAGATATATTACTAATTAATAATATACTAACACCAAGAATAATAATGATAATGATGTCGTCGCAGGAGACAATCATTTCTTCAAGTAATTAATTGAACAAAAAGATGATCAGTGCTAGGTAAGTGTGTGTTGTTAGTCTGTTAATTCGTTAGTTAACAAGGTTAATTTGCAGAGATAAGGCCACTAAGATTTTCTTTATTTTTCTCCATTGAAATAATATAAAGAAAAGAAATATATATACCCTAGTTGTAGAAACAACAATATTCTAAGCGTATTTTTTACACGGAATAATTTACACGACGACAACAACAACAACAACTAGTTAGTAGTAGTAGTAGTGGTGGTAAGTAGTTATTAAGAGGGCAAAATTAATAAATAACAGGGCGATTGGTAATAACAATAAAACTAAATAAATAATATAAGGAGCGCAATCCAATCGCGAACAAACTTGATAAACATTATCTTTCCACAGTTATATATCTTTAACAATAAACTCATGATTGCGATACTTGATTATAACGAATAGATTTCAGATAATTTTTTTTCCGTTATTGCATGCGGGACATATAATTAGGTGCTAAACTGTGAGTGTATGATGTGATAATCAATTTAGTTCGGAATAAGTTACTCTGTATAGGTGGGAATTTGGCAACAGAAACTCTAATTAAATAATTTGTTTTATAATAATTATAAAGAATAACAATAATAACCACAGACGAACTGACTGCACAATTAGGACAAAGAAGAACCAAACGTATACACACGCACACATGTAGCGTGCATACAACAGAGAGAGACTGTGTGTGAGGAAACGATAAGCGTTAGAGAATTTAAAAACACCGGGTAACAATATAAGTAGCATAATGTGTATATATGATATAAGATTAACGGGTAAACTGAAATCTTACATACTAAGTGTAGGACAGCTTTTCTTCATCTTCTCTTTCTTGATTGAATAAGCACAATTCATTTTAAAAAGTAATTTCAAATAATCAGGGGAAATTTCCTTTAGCTATTAAAACAAACTTCGCCGTGAATCTGTTGCATTTGTTTAGAAATGTAATGGAAAAGCAGCAACGCTAATAAATATCTCTAATAAACATAACAATCGTTGACTGACTGCGGGACCAGGGGCGACAGCAGCAGGACAAGTTTGATCAACACACTTGCGTGTACAGAAATCAAATATATCTACTTGGTAATTATTCTACAAAAATGATATTTCAAAGAAGTTGGCTTCCCCACTGTTTTCTTATCACTATTTCGAGTGGTCATCAACTGTGATTAATTATACTGACATGTGATGATATTTAATTGTAAGTGCTGATTTTTTAAAATATTTTTCTTGAAATATGCAGTGCTGCAAAAGTGAGACAACACAAATTACTTTTTAAAAAGGTAGTCAGATACTGACTATAGCTATCAATAATTATAAAATGTAAGCGAAAATTTTGCAGAATGTCTGTAAAAATCCACTCAGAGTCATAATACACAACCCACCAACTGAAAAATAACAAGCACTAATCTGTATCTGTTAATATAACAATCATTATTTCAGTTTTTGAATCCGACTTCTGATGGAATAAAGGCAGTTTAATTATTAGTTGTGAACTGGGGATGAGATTTACGAATTCATAACAAATACCGGTTTGAGTTCGGGTATTAAT